GTGCTAGAGGGGAACCCAGGGCCTGATGCATGCTAGGCAGGTGCTTCACCACTGAGGATGGAAAAGGGTTTGTGCTGTTGCAGTTTGGTTATCAGGCTGGCTTCTTGCTCCTTTTTGTGAGCAAGGCCCGGGGAGGGCAGAGGGGAAGAGGGTTGCAGGATTAGTGCAACAGACGCTGCTATACATACCACCCAGGTGCAAGTCGATGAGGCCACTGTAATAAGACTCTCCCCAATAGTCTACAACAAGGAATCGGTGAAGAAAGTTACTCGGTTAGATGACCCTGCGTCCCCCATGCCCGAAGCCACCAGGGAAGCGCGAGAGAGGCGTACAGGTCAATGCGAGGGCGAGCAGGGCCGGCTGGGGAGCATGCGAGTCTAAGTGCGATCGCATGCATGCGTGCAGGCAACCTCTGTCCCGCGTGGTGTGGGAGGGGTGACTGGACACCAGTGGGCGAGCTGATGGCCAGTGCCTCCTGGGCAGGAACTCCAGTCTCAATACTAGAAATATCTGCAAGCCTAAGTCGCTTTGAACACAGCCAGGGAGCTCCAGACAACTGTGTACGTGACCCCCACGGGGGCGGGAACTGCACACGCCTTCAGAAAGCTTCTTTGGCAGATAAGCTTCTTCTGAGGTGTGAGCTCCTGGCTTCAGCCAGCAGTTCTTAGAAACAGGCAACATCCTCACCTGCCTGCCCCACCCTCTGCCCTGAGGCCTGTGGCCATAAGCACTCTGAGCTGTTGTAGCTCCTCTGGCTGCTCCGGAGGGAACGATCACACACCTGAAGTCTGGGCCTGCAAGGGCTGGCCTTGAGCAGGTCGTCCTCTTCCAGAGCACATGCAGACTCAGCTGTGGCTCTGTCACCCCTCCTCAGAGTCTCCCCTTCAACCATGGACACTTCAGAAAGCTGAATGCCATACCGCATGGCTTCCAGTCCATGTTGAAGGCCAGTTCATCCAGTGAGCCTAAGTCTGAATCAGGATTCCAGAAGCAAAGAAGCTCCCGTATGTTCTAGGACCAGAAATCTGCTAAGTCTTGATCTCATCCTAGGCTCAAAGGCTCTGAAGTTAATCCTTGTGAGGGATACAGAGCAGCTTCTGAAAAGAGAGGCCAACTGGTGGTAGGCCTGTATCAGACTGTTCCCCGGAAGGGCAACTTGTCTAACAAAGTCTGATTTCCCCAGAGGGCAGATTGTCAAGTGAGATGGCAGGTTCCAACTGGCTTTTTCGTGGCTCTCAGCTGAAAGCTCAGCTGCAAGTTCCATCCTAATGGTCCAGTTAGGCACAGGGAGGCTACCCAGAGCAAGGGGATGCAGAAGTAGAGAGAAAGGAGTGATCAGCGCACCCACCGAACTTCAAAGAAGGTCTCCACCAGGGAGGAGCAGGGTCACTGGGGACTGATACTCCATTACCATTTTTTTTCCCCCTGTCGGTCATAGGGCTTGAACTCAGGGCCTGGGCACTGTCCCTGAGCATTTTTGCTCAAGGCTTGCACTTTATCACTTGAGCTACAGCTCCACTTCCAGCTTTCTGGTGCTTAATTGGAGATAAGAGTCTCAGGGACTTTTCTGCCCAGGCTGGCTTTGAACCTGGATCCTCAGATCTCAGCATCCTGAGTAGCTAGGATTATAGGCGTGAGCCACTGGCGCCTGGCACTCGATATGTCTTGGAAATTGCGTATTAAGGTACGAAAACAAAAATAATGGATCTTGAAATAAATTCTTGTAGTAGAAGGCACTACATAGGAAGGATTTTCTGAATGCATCGTGGGAAAAATTCCCAACAGAACTCCCAAAGCTCACTTTACAAACAACAGATTTGCCTTTCGTTGAAAAGTCTTTATGAAGCCTCACTTATAGATAGCGTTGGAGCAGAGCTGGATTTTAAGCTTTTATGGAGCCTAGAATTTGTCAAAGAGCATTCCAAGTGCCTCCCAAGTACCTGACTTGTTAAATACTTAAGTAAGACACACTATGCTCAAGTGCTTTATACAGCAGCTTTTAGCCCACTAAGAATCATCAGTGCATGGATTTGTGCTGCTGACTCAACCTGCTTTTCTGGGATCCCCAGAAGCACACTTCTTCTGCACTCTGTATACAAGTATCTGAACTCCTTGTAAAACTGTCCCAGTGAAGAGGAAGGAGGAGAATTAGTTATGTCCTGGCCAGCAAGAGCAGTGCTCATGGCCCCACTGTGTGGGCCTATGGAGGAGGGCTGGATTCACAGCAAGCTGCAGGTCCCCTTCCGGTGGGCAGCACAGCGCCTTTCCACTCCACCGCACAGCTGGGTTTTCTGCTTATGTGTATTTGATAGCTTCTTATCTGGGATTGGTTTTCTATAGAGAATATGAACTGCTACTAGGCTTGTCAGTGATAGAAAAAAATGCTACTGTTCTGTTTTTGAGCTTTTGGTCTCGATACTTGCAGGTGTTCTGAGATTTCCAGGTGAGCTGCTGAACAAGGCATTTGCAGCAAGTACCTCCGCTCACCAGACAGTCTCTCACGGTGTTGGGAATGCTTGCAGCTCCTGGATGGAATCTGTGCTTTCAAGTTGGTGCTGTGTATGTGTGCACACGTGTGTGCATGTTTTAAAATATTTTAGAGTAATTCTTTTGTTTTTGTTTTTGGGTCCGGTCGTGGGGCCTGAACTCTGGGCCTGGGCACTGTCCCTCAGCTCTTCAGCTCAAGGCTAGTTCTCTACCACTTGAGCCACAGCGCCACCTCCGGCTTTTTTTTCTTTTTGCTTATGTGGTGCTGGGAATCGAACCCAGGGCCTCAGGCATGCAAGGCAAGCACTCTTACCACTGAGCCACCTTCCCAGCCCTAGAGTAATTCTTTTGCATTTAAAACTTGAACTTACAATCTGGCACAAAGGGCTGTCTGCTGCTAAAAGCATGTTTGAAATCACTGACTTACATAAAATTCAGGTTGTACACGTTTATGAAAATCCAATTGTCTTAACCTCTTTTTCTTTTGTCGGTCATGGGGCTTGAACCCTGGGCCTGGGCTCTGTCCCTGAGCTCTTCAGCTCAAGGTGAGCCACAGCACCACTTCCCCTCCCCACTCATTTTGAGGTTCTGGGTATGGCAGTCAGGTCCTTGCCCATGGCTAGGCAAGTACTAAACCAGTGAACTGCATATGCAGGCCTTCCTCTGCCTATCTTTAGTGGTGTTGTTATTCTCTGGCCTGTGGGCCACAGCTGGAGTAATGTACCTATCAGAGAAACGTCTTAGCACAAATGGAGACTGCAGCTGCAGGAAGCTAAGTGCTTCCCACAAACCACAACACAGATGGCCAAGAACCTGGGTGAGGGGCAGAGCTCCCCCCGGAGCCTGAGTGAAGGGAAAACTCTCCTCTGTGACTACAAATGCAGAGGGACACAGCTGTGGAGTACTTCTGATGGGTGTTGTGGGATAAACCCATCATTTTCCATGACAGTTCAAGTAACTGCAGAAAGGGTGCGATGGGTCCAGACTCTTCTGGGGTCTTCTGCAGAAGAGAAAAACCAAGGAGGGCAGAGCCCTGTGGTCCACTCTCACTGGGAGCTGAGTCTCTCGTGCCAGGGCTCAAGCTGAACTGAAGCGGCTGCTTGGAGCATGCAAGGCAGGGAAAGGAGGCCTGCTCGCTGAGGATGTCACAGGTGCGTCGGACGCCTGGGACCCTTCGAGGCGGGCCGGCTCTCCACCACTCAGGGTAGGAGCCAGTGCCTGACTCACAGCCGCACTTTCTGGCCTTCTTGGCATGGGGGGCTCTATTTAGCTGGCTGAAATGTTTGCATTTCCTTTGACGGCCCAGCATCAGGTGAGGCACAAAACCAAGAACTTCTACACCCTTACCTTCCTTCCCCGGCCCATCTCTTCACCTGAAGGTCATCCTGCGCTGGTCAGCTGTGATTTCTGGGCTGCTTTTATACCTGGCCATTGCTCCTTACCACACAAACTAGCACTGCAGCACTAGAGAATCCGTCTCAACACCAAGCCCACACCATGAAGTCAGCAAGGCCACATAACAGTGGCTACTCCGGCCTGGGCAGCCTCTTACCAGGTTTTCTCCAGTCCTACATACAGCCTGCCTGCTAGGAGGTATGCCATGCTGGAAGGAAGTGGTGAGAGGTCTTCCTTCTCCCTAGCCTCAAGACAGCAACAGGCTGCGTTTTCTGCAGAGAGACAGGGGTTCCCCATGCAGAGACTCCATAACACAGAATTCTCAAGAAAGCAGAGGTCAGTCACTTCATGCCTGATCTGGGTTGGCCCAGTGGCTGAAGGTCCTGAACCAACAGGGCTTCTTGGGCCGGGCCCAGTGGTGGCTCAGGGCACCCTTGCTTTCTCTGCCAAGCCTGGGAGTCCCGTGACCCTCACAGCCACTTCTCAGTGTCTATGCCACACTGGCTGACCAACGTCTTCTCCCAGCCTCTCCCACCCTCCCTCTTAGACCAGCTTAATGGCCACAGAGCCTGGGTTCGCTTGGAATGCGATGTGAGTGCTGAGGGCCACAGCCCCATCTGAAGGAGATGGTATGGGCTTTGTAGGTGTGTAACTGGGGCAGAGAGAACCAGAGAACTATGGGCAGGAGGGGCACTTGGGGGAGCGAGCTGGAAGCCCACCCAGTGCAGTTCTGTGATGGTTCCTTGTGGTACAATCTCCCTCATTCCCAGCTATTTTCTCCTAAAGAAAAGGATGGAGAGAAGGAGGAGGAAGAGGAGGAAAAAGCCCAGAGCTTGCCACCAACAGATGATGGGGCCTGAGATTTCATTCTACAAGGAAATGGCAAGCTAAGAAATGGACTGGGGTGCACGCCTGGGCCTCAGGGCTGCCCCAACACAACTGCTTTTCTTTTAGCTAACAGGAAGCACCAGATGTCAGTGACACAGGGACCCAGAAAACTCTGCCGGTACAGGAGCTGATTTGCAAAAGAGGTGATGCAAAACTGGGCTACTCCAGTGGGGAGGATGGGCTCTGCTCCTTCTAGAACATGCCGCCTTACCAAGGCAGCCTGACCATACCTGCTTCGCCTCGCAGCGCCTTCTCCACCGCTACCCCCCTCTCCTCCAGCTGCCTCTGCTTCTCCTCCACCTGCTCCAGCTGCCGTTGGATGATCTAACAAAAAACATCAGTGTAAGCTTCCAGCTCTCTCTTACCTACAGTCTTCAGAAGGAAAGTTATGGAGTATGATGCCAGGAAGGGACTCTGGTCCACGGGCATGTTCAGAGTGAGGCGCCTACACTGGTAAGTCCCCACTCCTCTGCAACACGCCGGCAGAAGCAGGGCCAGCCCCCTCCCCGCAGCAGTTCCCTGGTGGGAGTTGTATGTCAACCACCACAGGAAGCATTCAAATACAGAACCCACAAACCTTTCCTGAGATGAGACTGGTAACATACTGGAGGGGTCCTTAGGAATTCTGTCTGCAAGTTTTAGGTGGGGGGAACCTATAATGGTCTAGGATGCAAGGTCTGAAAACAGGCTGATGACTGGGGCAGTCCTAAGCTCTCCTCTCCATTAGAAACTAGAAGACACAAATAATCTCTGCACACTGTTTACAAGTGAAACAGCTGGTGACCTGACTATTCTAGACTAAGAAGCTCCAAGTGTGACTGTTCCTTTTCACAACAGCCCCACATGTACGGGGTCTGGCTGTTGTATGCTTGGGTCTTTGCTGCTGCGTGCAGCTGTCACAGCTCAGGAGACAGGGACGTGCTATCTGCCTCCACTTGGCCCTCTCTGCCCTCCTGTACTCTGGACAAGGACATGCTGGAGCAGCCTGTGTCCCATGGCACGGCTTTACTGGGCCGGGCCTGTGGCTTGTATAGGTTGGCCGGCTACTCAGTGGGTCAGGCCCATGGCTTGTATCATACCTGGGCCCGATGGAGCCGCTTCAGCTCCTCCTGCTTGGCCTGCCTCCGAGCTGCTTTCTGCACACGCCGGGTCAGCTTGGCATTCAGTTCCTCCTCTGTGTAGGTTCTTGGCTGGACAGAAAAGAGAGATCGCTTCAGCCAGGTGCATGTAGGCTGGAGATGGTGGCTGGGACCTGGCAGACAGCAGGGCACAGGGTGTGCAGAATTTAACCAGAGACTTCATGGGCACTTGTGCCTGCTGGAACCCCAATGCCACAGGGCACAGCTGAAGACCCACAAAGAGAGACACTTTCCCTCTGTGACAATGACGGGAGGTCTGGGGACTTAGAACCTTTATCCTTGGCATCATCTGCTTCTCACAGGATGACTGTTTTTAAGGCCTCGTGGGGGTAAATGCCATGGTAAAAGGTTTTCCATAGCCTCCCGCATCTGAGAATTGAAGGAAAGGAAAAAAGGTTTGAAAAGTCAAAACCCTTTCATTTTCTTTGGTATCGAAATCCAGATGAGCGGTATTCTGGTTAGGTTCTTTTAAGAACTAACACCGAAGTCGGAGAAAACAGGTTACTTCTATTTTGAATCTAGGTGAACCCTAAACTAGCTAGCACAGGTGGGAGAAGGGGCTGCAGAGGTGATCCTCAGGGACCTCTGGGGTCTAAGGAGACAAGTGTCGTCACAGAGAGGAAGTGGCCTGGCCGGGGCGGTGCCATCAAGATCGGAGGAGGCGACTGGGCATGTCCCGTGGAGGAGCTGCGTGTTGGTTGGGGAGCCGTGGTTGCCTTCATTCAGGGCACCAAATGAGGGTACTTTCACACTTTTAAAAGAGGCTTCCAAGTTCAACTTGGGAGTCTGGATTCATCAGCTTTCTTCGAGGAACGTGAATGGTGGTTGGAGGGTCAAGAGAACAGGCAACAGGCAGTCCTAAGTGGCTGTGGGGTTCTGGGGGCCCAGCGGCTCACCCTGCAGACCACACAGCTGTGGGCTGGTGAGCACCTCTCGCTGGGCTTCCCGGGCCACAGCGGAGCTCTGCCCCACCCGCACCGGTGTCTCATCCTCCTTCTCCCTCGTGACACGGCTAAAGAGTCTCACAGCCACGGCTGCATGCAGGGATGAAGTTAGTGAGGGCGTGCCTGCAGGCCAGCGGGGCTGCTGAGGGTTAATCACAGACAGGCATGCAATGAGACCAGCCGGGGGATGGGATGCTACCTTTGATGAGTAGGATCTCCTGAATGCCAAGGCGTGTGGTATATAAATCAACTTTTAGGGGGATGGCAACAGAAAACAAAACAGAATAGGAATGATAATGATGATTAAAAAAATTAAAATAGAACACAGAAATGGAGTAAAATCAAGTTAGATGTTTAAAATGCACACGAGACTTAAACACACTGTTGTTGCCACAATGTTACACGGGGCTGCGTGGAGAGGGCACGGCAGGGTACGAGCTCCACCTGCCAGCTGCGTCTGAGTGACCCCCAGTTCTCAAGAAGACTGAGGTTTACTTCCCTACTTGCTGAGTATAAAAAAGTTCTTCCTCAGCATCCCCCAAATCTTGTCAGTCTTCCTGACAAAATATTAAAATCTATGACTGGTACCCACGAGTTATTCATAGGGCTGGGCGGGGGTGTGGTGGGGGTGTGTTCCTCTGTAACGCATGCCTGCAAGGAGCCGCCGTTCAGTGGGAGGCACTGGTGGTCTTAGTAGTGGGCTTCACTCATTCATGGGATAGCTATGAGCCTTAATTCTCAGATCTCAGCTCCTTGAGTAGCTAGGCTCACAGGCTCATTGAGCCCCCAGCCTCCAGCCAGATTGACCTTTTTGACCAAGGTGGTACTACCTGAACCTCTTCAGGCTCACCATGAAGATAAAGGGAACTTTGGACCACATTCTCTTTTCTTCACAGACTTCCACCCTTCACCAAACTCCCAAGACAGCACCCACCTGCAACGCTGGGATATGTTTATAGACCTACATGCAAATCCAGAAGGAATCTTTGGCTCAGGACCAGCTACTGCCAGGGAAACCTCAGTAGGAGGTTTGCTCAACAGGAGGTATGTTAAAATGAGTCCCAGAGGTAGAACACACAGCCTCGGAGACCTCCACTACACTCAGTGCATACTCGGGAGGCCTGGCTCTGTAGCTAAGTAGAACAAGAGGTAAGGCTTGTCATTCTAGGTGTCCAGGGGAAAAGGCTGGCATGTCAGGGAGGTAAATGTATAGAGGACGAGATAAATAAGTAAACCACCCTTTTCTACTTTGCAGAGTTAATGAAAGGGGAACTGAACTGCGCTGATGGCTGCTGTCTATAATCGAATCCCAGCTACTTGGGAGACAAAGATCAGAAGATCATAGCCCAGGTTGGCCTGAGTAAAAACCTGAGATCCTATTAGAAAAATAACTAGAATAAATAGGGTTGAAGGAGCAGCTCAAATGGTGAAATGCTTGCCTAGCAGTAGACGCTGAATTCAAACCCCAGTGTTGTACCCCTGTCCACCACCAAATGAAAAAGATAAAAATAAAAAAGAAGAGTAGAAAAAAGAAAAAAAAAAAAGGGTCAGGCTGGGAGGCAGGACCTAAAAGCAGGCTATGGAAGTCGTATCTGCAGACAGCCCAGCCCTGACCAACAATTCAAAGCTGCCTCTTGATGGAAAATACTCAAGTCCATGCTCCAACAGCTCTTCTGGGAAATATACAGAATGCTGGGGGAAGCCTTTTAGTAAAGAAAGTAGGAGGGGCTGGGAAGGTGGCTCAGTGGTAGAGTGCTTGCCTTGCATGCATGAGGCCCTGGGTTCGATTCCTCAGCACGACATAAGCAGAAAAAAAAAAGCCGGAAGTGGCGCTGTGGCTCAAGTGGTAGAGTGTTAAACTTGAGCTGAAATGCTGAGGGACAGCGCCTGGGCTCAGAGTTCAGGCCCCACAACCGGACCCCCCCCCCAAAAAAAAAGAAAGTAGGAAAACTTTTTGTCAAATGTTGTGTGCTTCTGCTCACATAAGGAAGGTTAAGTCTAAAACAGGACTGCCAATAATAATTGGACAGGAGTCCAAAAGGAGGCTGGGGGAGGGGAAAGGAGATGCTTGAAGCATACTACCTGCATCGTTTTTTCTTTTCTTTTCTTTTTTTTTTTGGTCGGTCCTGGGGCTTGAACCCTCAGTCTGGGCGCTGTCTCTCAGCTCTTCAGCTCAAAGATAGGACTCTACCACTTGAGCCACAGTGCCACTTTCGGTTTTCTGGTGGTTTATTGTCTCATGGACTTTCCTGCCTGGGCTGGCTTTGAACCATCATCCTCAGATCTCAGCCTCCTGAGAAGCTAGGATTACAGACATGAGCCACTGGCACCCGGCTTTACCTATATAATGGTTTTTTTTGTTGGTCGTGGGGCTTGAACTCTGGGCTTGGGTGCTATCCTTGTGCTCTTCAGCTCAAGGCAAGTGCTCTACCAGTTGAGCCACAGCTCCACTTCCAGTTTTCTAGTGGTTTATTGGAAATAAGAGTCTCACGGACTTTTCTGCCTGGGCTGGCTTTGAACCGTGATCCTCAGATCTCAGCCTCCCAAGTAGCTAGGATTATAGGTGTGAGCCACCAGCACACGGCACCTATACAGTTTTGAACAAAATGAAAGTCACTAAGTACTGTCTAAAACAGTACGGAGAAGAAAGAGGCTAAGTTTAAGGAAATGAGTAAATTTGTTCAAAGTACAGCTCATGATCAAACTCCTTTATACTATTAATAATTCCTACAAACAAAACGAAGCAACGAAACTGGAGCATACATAGCTCAAGTGGTAGAGTTTAAACTAAGTAGTAGGTTTGATCTTGGGTTCAAATGCCAGAACCAAAAACAAAACAAAACAAAAAACAAAACCAACCAAACAACAACAACAAAAAAAACCCCAAAAGGTAGGTGGTCAGCCAGGCTGTCGCCGCACGGGAACAGGGTGATGGCCCGGCCTAGCGGGGACTGGGGATGGCCCTGACTCTGCTCAGACCTTTCTGGACCTTAGTTCCTGTCCAATTGCCATCATTGGGACAGATGCCACACTACAACTAGACCTCTCTCTAATCCTTTCCCTCCTCCAGCTTCACTGTATCTGGTCCAAGCCTTGAAAACCAAAAGATTGAACAAGCCCTCCAGGACAGCCACCAATGAAGGGTCTTTTAAGGGCCTCAGCAGGACGGAGGGGCAGCTCTTCCAAGCCCCAGAGGAGGGAGAGGCCTCTGGGAGCAGGGAAGTCCTTTCTGCTTGACAGACATACCAAGCAGGCAGGATGGCCAGGGCCATCCACAGCCCTTTCCCACGGGCCTCCACTCTCTTCTCCTGCTGCCGGGCCAGGCAGTGCTGCTCCACGTGGGAGGAAATAAAACCTTCCACCTGGATCTGACCTCTCCACAGGAACGTGTTCAGAGGGCCTGAGGAAAGACCCCTCCTGGGCTCTTCCTCCACCCAGGACTGGCTCAGCATTCCACTGTTTGAGGGGGAAGAAGGGGAGAACCTACCCCATACCACTTTCCACCTTAACTTCAGATCTCTGCCCCCTCTCCCCCAAGCCCCATGGGACTGGATCCCCACCTCTCGCTTGGATTTCTGGGAGGCCCTCTCGAGGATATCATCACTGGACAGGTCCGAGTCTTCAGAGAAACTCAGCTGGCGCCGGAGCTGCAGCTCTGCAGGGGTAAGAAGAGGCCAAGTGAGCAGCGTCCACAGCCATGGGGACAGCCGGGGAGGTCAGGAGAGCTTTACTCTCAGTTTAAGTGATTCTCATCCACAGGAGGTGCAGTCAGCACTAGATAGACACCTCCTTGCAAGACCTCCCAGCAAGATGCCCTCTGCCCTCCCCCTCAGCCAGGTTCAAGCAGGCTTTAGATCTAACTTGTCGGAGAGGAGTGATGTGCTCCAGACACCACAGTGTGGCTCTCTTCTCTCCCAAGAGCCCTTGTGGGGGCAGCAGGTGGAAGCAGATCTCTTGAGGGAAGACCTCACACCTACCCTGCCAGGGTCTGTGGGAGGCTGGCATACCTGCTCTCACAACAGGAGACAGCCCATGTCTGCCCGAGTCTGCGGTGGCACCGCTGGACGGGGTGCTGGAGCAGGACTTCTCATCGCCCCTCTTCTTCTTGTCCTTCTTGTACCCAGAGAAGACCGACTTCCACAGGGACTTGGGCTTTGTGGCTGCTTCTTCCAGGAAACTGGGGCTGGGTTTCTCTGGGGGCCGTCCCTCCCCTTTGGACTTCTTCTCTTTCTTATTTCTGCGTGGGGAGAAGAGGGATGACCTCTTCTTGCTCTTCCCGCTGGAACCCTCAGATGAGGTGACAGAGCCATCTGGACCCCCTGAGTCTGATGGAGGGGAGAGAACCTCCTCACTGGTGGCTTCGTGCTTCAGGGTCAATTGCTCAGACGCTCTGAGGCCCAGGTGAGTGGGGGACTCAGACCTGGGTTCCTTGCCCTTGGAGGATGCCAAGGGTGCCATCCGGGATCTGGAGGCCATACCCGCCATCTCCATCCCCTGCATCCTGCTCAGCTGCTTGACCATGGCATCTCTCAGTGCCTGGCTCTTCACAGACTTCTCTCGGGCTCGCATGCGCTCCTCGGCCAGCTCCTTGGCTTCGGCAGAGACCTGGGGCAGCCCCCTCTTCTGGGCCTGGCCCCGGCTCTCCACAGGAGGCAGCTGCCCGTTCTCTTTGGCCAGGGGCCAGCAAGAGGGGGGCGTGAAGAACTTCTCCTGCCCACTTGAGTCCTCCGTCTTGTCGTCGTAAGTGTCTTCCACGTCGTCAGCAAAGGGGATCTCATCCACACTCTCCACAAATGACTTGCGCACCTCCTCCCTGGGAGGCTGGGCCGGCTCCCGTGGGGGCCGCATAAAGGGGGCGGGTGGGGGGGGTGGGATGACCGAGGCCTTGGGCTGGACCTCTCTACGCTCCAGGGTCTGGTAGGACTTCCTTTGCAAGGTTGCAGGCTCCTCATCGAGAGGTGGGGGCGGAGGTGGGCTGGAAGGCGGGGTGAGCATGGTGGAATCTGAGGTGTTGAAGCTCTGGCTGCCCAAGGTTTTCATGTTGGAAGAGCTGCCATGGAGGCCCAGGCCGGAGCTGCTGGACAGGTCCTTACGCTCCTCCTGGGAGCTCCTCAGCTCCCGGTCAGGGGACTTGGGAGTCAGCAGGGATGGCTGATCACTTGCTAACTTTGGAAGGCCCAGCCTTTTAGGTACAGGTGGGGGTTTCAGAAGATGGAGCCCCTCATCCTGAGGAGACTTTTCCACAGAGTAGGACTTTAGGGACACTGGCTTCAGGGCTGGTGAGGGGAGGCTGGGCTCGGGCCCTTTGTTCCGATCCACGGGTGTGAGCCCAAGGCTGCGGCGGATCTCCGCACTCTTCATCCAGAACTCCTCCACCAGATCACTCCTTCGTACGGGCTCATCTGCCGCAAGAGGGCTGCCCAGTCTGTCCTTGGGGTCACCTTGGCTCTTTACAGGGAGAGGGGCTCGGGGGGTGGATGTTTTGGTAGGAACAGGCTGGAAGCGTATGGGGGACTGGGTGGGGGAGGGCACGGTGGTCTCTGAGGAAAGCTGGGGCTGAGAGCAGATGGGGAAAGGGGGTGCACAGGGAGCCAGTGGTGCCGCCAGAGCCGCTGAAGGCTGGGAGTCGGCTGGTGACCTGGCTTCTGGCAGAGCCATGGGCTGTGATCGGATGGGAGAGTGTGCTGCCTTTGGATCTGCAGAGGCTCCGGCTTTGGGCTTCTCTCTGGAGAGTAGAGATGGAGGGAAAAGGTGCTCCTCGGGGGGTCTCACCTTGGTGGCAGCAGAGACTGGTGAGATCTGGGTTCCCTACAGAGAAGAAAGACAGAAGCTGCTAAGAAGCCAGAGCTTCCCTGGCCAGCAGCAGCCCCCAGGGAGTATGGCCTCTCACAGGGAGGGTGTGGTGTGGAGATAGATTCCTCTCTCTGTCCTTTGAGCTATTATTTGAAGGGCTTCTCATTTTCTGGTCTACTTGTTCCCTCTTTAGAATCCTTCCCCTTGGTTTGAATAGACAGGGTTTGGGTCATCTCAAACACATCTAATGAGCTTGTCCACTGACTCGAGTCCTGGCCAACGCAGCTAATACACTCAGCTTCCAGCCTGGTTCAACCAGATATTGGTGGTCCCTACTGGCCCACCGTGGGGCCAGCAGTGAGGACATTTAAAATGATCACTCAGCACAGTATGCAGACCACAGTGTCCTTCCCAAGAAGCTCAGAGGCGCAAGGCTCTGGCGTCACGGTGACCTCTCGGGTCAGTCACTGCACCGTCTGTGCTGGCTGGTATTCAGAGGCCCAGGCCTGTTGTCTGTCTATGCCACACTCCCCCTTGGCCTTCTAGACCCTATTTCCCAAACCACATTTCAGAAACTGTTGGGACACTGATGAGCTGTATTTATGGAATGCCACAGGCAATCTGGGAGCCTGCATGTATGTGTGGAGGGTGCAGTACCTTTTTCTTTTCTCTTCTCTTCTGCTACTAGGGTTGGAACTCAGAGCCCACACACTTGCTCAGCTCAAGCCACTTGATCCACACCCTCAGCCTGGCTTTTTGCTGGTTATTTTGGGGACAGTCTGACTTTTTTTTTTTTTTTAACCTGGGCTGGCTTTGAACTGTAAATCTCTAGTGTGAAACACTGGAGCCTGGCCTTGGCAACATATGCTTATGTTAAATAGTCATGCATGTATTTTAACACAAGATGTGTCTATCAGAATAAATCCATGATTCTACAATTTTTTATTATTATTATTATTACTACTATTTTGTTGGTCATGGGGCTTGAACTCTGGGCCTGGGCACTGCTGTCTCTGAGCTTGTCAGCTCAAGGCGAGCATTCTACCACTTGAGCCACAGCGCCACTTCCAGGTTTCTGGTGGTTACTGACTTTGAACCGTGATCCTCAGATCCAGCCTCCTGAGTAGCTAGGATGACAGGTGTGAGCCACCAGCATGCCCAGCTGCTTTTCTATTCATACCAAGGACCTGAATTAGAACCCAAGGCCACTCCTATTGTCAACAGCTCTACTTGGCACAAAGTGAATTTTTTTTCTTCAGATGAGGAAGCTGGTAGGCTGCTTCCCCTAAGACAGGCCTTCCCCCTTGCTTCCCCTTGGGGCCATCAGTTCCTGGTCACGCACAGTGACCCTGCAGCCTCACCTCGACCACGGGGCTGTGGGCTGGGGTGAGCAGAGCAGCCTGTTCCTGAAGAGAGTGGATGGGGCTGGAGGCCTGGGAAGGACCTGAAAGGAGAGGTCACAGTCATGTCAGGGGGAAATCGGGCCTCAGAGATGCACTCATGTTCAAGTGGGGACCCCTTCCCCCTCCTTCCCAGGCGCTGCAGGCGGACAGAGGCTCAGAGAGCCAACCGCTCCGTGCCCTGGCTGTTCTGATGGCACCGCCAAGCACCCCGTCCCCCCCGTGCCAGCATGGCCGTTGGAATTCCACGCGGGTCCGCTCAGCTTGGAGCTCTCACGACCCTCTCATGACCCCAAACAGTACAAGGCAAGGTGCTGCAGGCCAGGCACTTGCAGAGTCCTGTGGCGTGGGGCAGGAGGGGAGCAGGGAGTGGAGGAAGGGAGGGGCTGCGGCCCTGGCCTGCCCCACGTGCCTGGCTCTGTGGTCCCCACAGCACTGGGGACACCGTGTCTCCGGCCAGTGGCAGCAGACCCACCTCTCTCTTGTTGCTTTGGTAAGGCAGGAAGCTCCTCATCCTCCTCATCCTCCTCGTTCTCTGATACTCTCAGCTCCAGCTCCCCTTCTGCCTCTGTCGGGTGTGGCACCCGAAGCCCTGCTTCAGCGTCAGATGGGATGTCATCAGACCAGTGCTGATCTGGAGACAACAGGCACAGATTAGCACTCTGTCTCTGAGCAGATTTATGACAAGAGGCAAACTACCAGCCAGGTACCAGTGGCTCACACCTCTCATCACAGCTACTCAGGAGGCTAAGATCTGAAAGGAATGCCTGTCAGACCCTAATCTCCAATTAACCACCAGAAAACTGATGGTGGAGCTGTGACTCAAGTGGTAAAGTGCTAGCCTTGAGCAAAAACGCTCAGGGACAGCACCCAGGCCCTGAGTTCAAGCTCCAATGGCAAACTACCCCTAATGCCTTCTCCTATGAGCTTGATGAAAACAGCCAAAAGCAACAGGAAGCTGGCCGGCCCTCCAGAGGCCAGTACGGAGGGAACAGCCAACCAGGACACACCTGTGACTTGAGGCTCATTGAACGTGCAAACCCTTCTCACCCTGTGCACCTGATTCTCCCTATTTAACCTGAGGCCAACGTCAGCACCCGTGAAGATGGCTGAAGATGCATGAAGTGCTGTCTTCCATCTTTCTCTGCCCTTCACATGTCTCTTGATTTGGCACATGGGGCTGAGCAGCTGGACCTAACATGGGGATTGGTCCTGGGGTCTAAAAACCCAGTTTCACCATGACAGGAAGAAAAGCTTTGGGTGTGCACAGGGATGGTAGGCCTTGCTTCCTGAACTCTGCTTCCCTCCCCTTTTGCCAAACTGTCTACAGCCTAACACCACGGCCAGGTCTGTAACTCCCTCAGTCTAGTCCCTGCCCTCAACCAATGAGACTGCAGTTCTTTTTTGGTTGGTTGTGGAGCCTGAGCCTGGGCCTGGGCGCTGTCCCTCAGCTCTAGAGCTCAAGGTGAGCGCTCTACCACTTGAGCCACAGTGCCACTTCCAGCCTTTTCTGCTTATGTGGTGAGGAATTGAACCCAGGGCCTCATGCATGTGAGGCAAGCGCTCTACCACTGAGCCACCTTCCGAGCCTGAGACAGCAGTTCTTAAAATTCTTCAAATGCCTTCTAGCCCTCAGCTGCCAAGTTCCAGCTCAGAACCACAATGATGTACAACCTCTGTGAATGTAGGCTACGCTTTTGACAGGGAAGACGAGACTTCCAAGTCGAGAAGCCCTATGGGCTGCCTACTTGAGCTTTCGCTGTAGATTGTTTGGGTATTTCTGGTCTTGGCCTGCAGGGAGGAATAGGAGTGGAGGCTGAGGCTCCGTACCGTCATCTAGCTCAGCACCAGTGTCTCCGGGGTCCCCATCCTCCACAGCCTCCCCTTCTGTCTCTGCTGGCTCGGAGTCTGCGTCCTCCTCCAGGTCATTCTCGTCCAGTGGGGCTGTAAAGCAGAGATGTTCAAGAACAGGAAGAAACGAACAGACAGATGGGTAGAGGGCCTGCACAGGGGGAGAGAATTGCTTTTTGCAGGGCAGCCATGAGATGGCCGTAGGAAAGAGGGAGGAGCCCCTCCCACAGAGGGTGGGGGCACTCCAAGCAGCACAAGAAGGGTCCAGGCCACTGCTCCATTTGAGTAGGGCAGAGTGAAGAGAGGAGAGCCCTTCCTCCTCCTCCTTCCAGGCCCCGTCCTCTCCTCCCCTGCAGGCTGCCTCAAGTCTGTGCCCATCAGAGGGGAAGCTGCTGTGGGACTGTTGGAAGTTTAGAATGACAGCTTCTATCGCCAGTGCCTGTGAGCCAGACACTATGCTCAGCATTTCATAAGCCTGGAGCACTTATTTCTCATCATACGCAGTTGGATGGACCACTCTTACTGTGTACTTTGGAGTAAGGAAGTCGATGCCTGACAGTTCAGGTGACTTGCACAGGACCCTGCTGCTCAATCTAGTCACTGTGGCATGTGCAGGGGCACGGGAAAGCTTGGGGGAGCTCCTGAGGGCCCCACCCTTCCCTGGAAGAGGCTGCTGCTATTCTCGGAATTGAGAAAGCAGGTGGACAGGTGAGGGGATCTGTAAAGTTCCCTTTCCAGACTGGAGTAGCCCTTCAAGGCTGCAAAACTGCCCTGAACCACGGGCAGCCTCTGCCTCATGTGTGAACAGGCTGGACAGGGCCATGCCAGATCGCAAGAACTTCCCTTTGGTGACCAGGAAGTGACACCTTAAAGGTGCTGGCATGTTTTATTGACTGAGATGATGTTTGTGTTCACTCTTCTACATTTCCTTGAAGTATATTTATATTTAATGCACAATGTGTAAGATGATGGTTCAAATCTATGAAGAACTCGTGAAATTAAACTGAACAGTGGGAAACAGATTTAGAATAGAATACAGTCCTGGGTTGAGGTGTTCCAAGGTAAGTTCTATGTTGGCAGTTAATGCCACCTGCCACTGAAATACCAGGGCAGCCAAGGGAGCTGTCAATGACAAACTGCTCTCCTATAACGATGGCATTTCTACACATTAACCCCCCCACACCTGCTTTTTTTTCTTTTGATCATAGGGCTTGAACTCTGGGCCTGGGCGCTGTCCCTGTGCTCTTCAGCTCAAGGCTAGCACTCTACCACCTGAGCCACAGGGCCACTTCGGCTTTTCTGTGTTTTGTCGTGCTGAGGAATTGAACCCAAGATCTCATGCATGCGAGGTGAGCACTCTACCACTGAGCCACCTTCCCAGCCCCACGATTAAAACCTTTTGAGCAATCGTACTGAGGTTGGCCACTCACGGAGGACAGTTAATTGAAGAGCAAAGAACAGGACCTTGGAGGCACAAACACCCCACCAAAAAACAGCAATTGGTCTGGGTCCAGACTTGAGCTGTAGGCCAAGGCCACGAGCTCATTGTCAGAACAAAACGTCCAGTGGGAACAGAACCCTGGCTCATCAGGCATTCTCTGGTGCTGATGTGCCTGAATGATCAACCAGCAAGTGCCTGGCACCCAGGTGGCGATTTTATGCTCTGCCTGGTAAGTAAGCTGGAAGAGAGCACACAGAAGGTCAGTCCCTGGACTCCTGGCTGCCCCTGCCTGCTGGGTTGGCCAGTTCCTCTGTTCTTCACGCAGGTCTCCCACTTGGAGCTCCTACTAAGAAACACTGGCCGTGGAGTCAAAAGGGAGGGGGTTCTAACTCCTTGGGGCACCTTGGAAGGAACGGTCACATACGAAACAACAAACATGAGCACTATCACTGAAGCAGCGGCAGCAGCCGGTACTGAAAGAGACGCAGCCTGAGCGATGGAACTGGGGGGTGGAGTCCAAGTGGAGAAGGAGCGCAAGGTGCTGGAAGCGGCCACACAGGTGAGGAGCACGCTGCAAAGCCAGTATTTGTGTTTATTTCAGCTGCCAGCTGAGGGACCTTCCTTCTTAGCCTTGTCCCCAGCTCTGTGCTCTGTCCCCCACGCTGATGGCTCAGGGGGCTGCACTGGATGCCAGTGAGCTCCCATGACGCGTGTGTCTCCTGCCTGCGGCTAGCAGCTTGGTAAGAGCCTGTGGCAGAGATCGGCTGATGCCAGTCCATCCCAGAGGGACTGTCCAGGTGGTGCTTGGAGCACATGTGCAGGATCCTCGGTGGTGTGATGCTGGGGTGGAGATGGAGACTGCACAGCGCTCAGAGCACCAACTGCCCTTCCTGAAGAAATGCATTTCCCAAAGAACTCGGGGAGGACCAGCAAGGGCTCTAAGCTTAAAGACACAGTGGCTATGTGGGGCCAGCAATGGAGCCACGCGGTGGTTCTCAGTCTGCCTTCTGCCCTCCCCTGTGCTCTAGCAAATTTCTCTACACCTTTCCTGAACTTGAACTCAAGGCCTCGTGCTCTTGCATGCCTGTTCTACTCATGGCTGGCTTTCTACTGCTTGAGCCATCCCTCCAGTCAAGTTTTTTTTTTTTGCTTTTTGCAGATTAATTGGAGATACAATCTCTTTCTGCCCACGTTGGCTTCAAACTATAATCCTCGGATCTCAGCCCCTCCCCAAGTCGCTAGGATTACGATAGAGCTGAGCCCCTAGCACCTCAGCTCCTTCCTGAGTTTCGACTTGCTCCCGGCACTTCACTTGGACAAGCTTCTAGAACACTATCTATTCCTCTGTCTTCAGTCAGTTGTTACACACACTTTGAACCTCAGTGCAAAAGGTTCTTTCAGCTCCGGCCTTCCCCCCCACGCCCTATCCATCAGCCAAAGTGCCTCTCTGTCCTAGCTCATGGTGGGCCTGTAGTCGACCTGAGTGGGAAGTGCCTGGGTCCATGCAAGGGGGCCGGCCTGACCAGCCATGCAAGTGCCCCACCCCGCTGGCTCCGCCCTCACATGCAGCGGCCACAGGACCACCGTCCTGGTGTTAGGGCACCAGCAGAGCTGCCTAGAGAGAGGTTACGGTGAGTGGGGCGGGGCAAACATCACCAGACTACCTCCGGAGACCGTCTCCAGCCAGGCCTGCACTGCTGCGCGGCGTACGGAAGGAAGGCCAGGCACTGAATTTAAAACAAACGATAAATGCGGAGTTAACACGGCAGTCTGTTCCCAGTGAGGAGGAGCTGAAGTCAATGGACAGAGCCTGTCTGGTACTGAAGACTGCCGGTGTGCTGCTGGCCTGTGCAGTGGACACTCTGGACAAGGAGAAAAGAGAGAAAGCCAAGGAGGGGTTGGGGGGCAAGAGGGGCCCAAGGGTGCAGACATTCCGATCCGTCCCGATCTTGCAGGCAGCCTGATGCCTGGTAAGCAGGGTCTCCTTCCACAGCTTGGGTACATCTGCTCTCTACAGTGGTGGGAAAGCCATTAACAGAGGTTGGTGTTGTCTACCTGCAAAGATTTGGAGCTGGAGAGGGTGAAAGTCCAACGAGAGAATGAGTCCAGCGTGGGGCTGTGAGCAGGCTCTGAATCAATACACTTGCACGTGACAAGGCCAAGGTCCCCTGTTTAGAAGAGGTGGCTGAGGATCACATGCAGCCACCACTCCTCATTGGGCTCCTTGATTTACTTTTACCGCTATTCACCATGGTGCACACCTTTAGTCCCATCTGTTCTGGGGGATTGATTAAGCAAGAGAGTTGCCAGCTCAAGAACAGTCTGAGCAGCTTAGTGAGACTTTGTCAAGAAGAAGAAAAGAAGAAGGTCTGGGTGCTGGTGGCTCTCGCCTGTAATCCTAGCTACTCTAGCTGAGTAGACTAGCTGAGATCTGAGGATCATGGTTCCAAGTCAGTGAGGCAAGAAAGTCCATGAGACTCTTATCTCCAGTGAACCACCAGAAAAACCGGAAGTGGTGCTGTGGCTCAAAGTGGTAGAGCGCTAGCCTTGAGCTGAAGAGTTCAGGGACAGCGCCCAGAATTCAAGCCCCATGACTAACAAAAAAAAGGAAAAAAAAAAAAAAGAGGAAGATGAATTATTTGTATTTTACTGGGAAACAGAAATAGAGTATCCAATCTAATCTTTGACTCAGAGACCTTAGGGGCCTCCCTGATAAACATCTCATCTTAATTTCATTTCTAAATATGTGTTCTTCCCAACACAATTACAGGCAGACGTCCCACAGAGAAATACCTTTTCTCTTCAGAGAAGTGTTTATCTTTTCTCTTTAGAGGATTGCTACTTAACAGGGTGGATTACTGAGTTTTACAGGTCAGGATCACTTTACTGTTCTGTATCCCTGGATTAAAAGCCTGTCTTGGAAGCCACAGAACACTACGTATCCTTGACTGAGCAGCAGGGAAATGGTCCTGATTTAACATCAGAAAAATGCAAAATTCTGGTGCTTCTTATTCTTTGGTCAAACCGCAGGGTTTTCTGCAGCAGAAGGAGCAGTGAAGTGCTTCCAGAGCACACTGGGACCTGGCCTCGTGGCAGTTACCTCTGGAAGTGGAGGACTCTGAGGTGGGGACCATTCTCTCCTCCTCCTCCTTCCCACGAATGTGTGTCCAATGCACATCGGCCTGGATTGCCAAGGGGTCCGCTGGATTTATGATTTGCTGTAGCCTGTGGTTCCCGGCTGGTATTGCAGGTGTGAGGGATGGAGGCGGTGAGAAGTGGACAGGGGGAGAAACAATGGTGGACAGAGACACAGGCAGAAACAGGACAGTGGATGGAAGGAAGGAGGGAAACACCACAAGAACGGAAACGGAGAGAAAGGTTACAATATTTGCCAAGACCACTTTGAATCAGAAAGAAGTAAAAGTTAAGAAAACACACACACACATACATACCCCTTCCCACTCATTCAAGTTGATACAGCCTTTTTCCTTCCTTCCTTCCTTGCTTGCTTGCTTGCTTCCTTCCTTCCTTCCTGTGTGTCCACGTGTGTGTGTGTGTGTGTGTGTGTGTGTGTGTGTGTTTGTGTGCGCCACACATGGGGCTTTAACTCAGGGCCGAGGTGCTGGCTAGCTAGCACTCTACCACTTGAGCCACAGCCACACCTCTGGCTCCTTGAGATTAACTGGAGATAGGAGTCTCACAAACTCTGCCACTCAGGCTGGCTTCAGGTGGAAGCCTCCTGAGTAGCTAGGATTACAGGTGTGAGCCACCAACATCCAGCCCTTCATTTGTACTTCTAGTTTCAGTGAAGAGGACTACATACTCCAACTCCAACGCTAAAGTCTTCTTTTTCTTTCTTATATTCTTTTCATCCTAAGCCAAATGCCAAGGCAGGAAGAACAGATGACACCTGGTCCCCTCCAGAGGTCACAAGGACTCAGATGAAAAAGCAGAAAAAAAATAAGCTTTCTCAAAGACACTTTCTGTTGGTTACCCAACAAGGTGCTTACCACCACCTGCCGGACTGACCACTTCTCTGAGCGACGAGAGGTGGGCCATTCTCTACTGAGCCAGCTAACTCCAACGAGCAGAAAGGCGCTTTCTTAGTACTTGAGTTTTTATCTTTCGCAGCCAGAACTGCTGCTGGAGAGGAACAGCCTCCCTTCCCTGAACCGCATGCTGCATGCTGGGTTTGTGGAAGGGACACACTCTGCGGGGGAAGAGGCCGGCACATTCTACAGAGGGGTAGAGAATACCCCCGCTGAGAAATACAGGGCAGAAAGCAAATTCCGGGAGCAGGGTTAGAAGAGGCAGTAGCTGGGAGAGGAAGGAGAGCTCTACACTGTGAAGTACCAAACTCTAGGAGTCCAAGGGTTGAAACGCAACCAAAACTTCTCTGCTTTGTTTCTATGGTTGAGGTCCTGTTTCTTAAGACCCAGCTAGTGACCCACTGATCCTTCTGGACATGAGATGAGGTTTTTCACAGACACGAAATTTCCTCGCGACCCTTGGAATCCGCCACGTGGTCCCTGCCCTAGGGGACCCTGCCATTAGTAGTTGGGTCATGCTGGAGTAGGGTTAGGACAAAGGGACAGCCTTGTCTTGGAGGGAGGACAGTTGTTCAGGCAGCAAGAGCAGGTACCACAGATCTGCAGGATTCTGGAGTTCCTGCCAGGAGCTAGCTTCCATCTGGGAGCGGTGCCACCCTTTCCCTCAACAATTTTCCTGAGTGACTTGTCTCTGTTTGGTCATTAGAATGATGCTCTCTGGGCTGGGAGCAGTGAGGATGACATACAGGAGCAGAAAATACTGATCAGGGCCCGGGAGAAAACCTCTTCTCTATCAAAGTGTGTTGCTTAAAAGTTCCTGGTAGCTTGGCTCTGGTGGACAAGAGAAACTGCTTTGGGGAAAGGAAGGGTTTTTGAAGTGTAAAGTTTTATCTTCCTTGATTTTCCAAGATGGAATTAAGACACACCTCTGATTGTTCAGGGAATAGCAGAGGTGTGGCTATGTTTTGAGATGGTTAATATTTTATCCGATTCAAACTAGCCAGTCTGAGCAGATTGTGAACCTGAGTTCAGCCTATCAGAGCAGAGGGGCGGGGCCTGCTCCATCCCGGATAATCAGGGCAGCTGCCTGCCTGTTCAGGGCTTTGGCACACTCTTCTGCAGAAGTAAAATTTGCTTTGTTAGGACAACTCTCTATTTTCATGTCTACCGTTGTGACTCCAGTGGTTCTTGGAGAGCACATGTATTACAGGTCCTCAGTGTAGACCCTGCCCTGTGCTCTAACACGGGGGCTTCGGCCCCTCATGGCACCTTTCCTAGAGTGGCTGTCTCTCTCTCTCTTTTTTTTGGGGGGGGGGTCCGGGTCATGGGGCCTGAACTCTGGGCCTGGGCGCTGTCCCTCAGCTCTTCAGCTCAAGGCTAACGCTCTACCACTTGAGCCACAGCACCACTTCTGGCTTTTTTCATTTTGCTTAATGTGGTGCGTGAGGGGTCGAACTCAGGGCCTCAGGCATGCAAGGCAAGCGCTCTACCACTGAGCCAGCGAGTGGCTGTCTCAAGATTCACAGATTCTCTCCAAGGCTTCTTTGCCTTTCTGGTACAAGATGGGGCTAAATCACATCAGTCACCAAACAGCCTGCCTGGCAGGTCTGGGGAAGCTGAGTCAGATAGAAAAAAAGGCAGCTCTTTCTCTACCTTTTAAAATGTGAGCTTCGGGCTGGGAAGTTGGCTCAGTGGTAGAAGTGCTTGCCTTGCATGCCTGAGGCCCTGGGTTCGATTCCTCAGCACCACATAAGCAAAAACGAAAAAAGCCGGAAAGTGGCGCTGTGGCTCACAGTGGTAAAGCGCTAGCCTTGAGCTGAAGAGCTGAGGGACAGCGCCCAGACCCAGAGTTCAGCCCCACGACCGGACCCCCCCAAAAAAAAAATAAAATAAAATGTGAGCTTCTCCCTGAGTTATATTCTGTCTCCCGCTAACACATACATCTGGGGGGGATTTATCAGCAGCATGAAGTCAGCCTTCCTTCCTCTGAGAAATACTAAAGGCAGCTAAGGTGGGATGGAAGCTTTGGTCATGCAATTTTCTGTATTGGAGAAGCTGCCAAGTCTTCCCTGGGTAAGGGGAACCCGGGGCAAAACCTTGAGGGTAGAGAGAGGACCACAGGCATCACTCTCTACTGACATAGACACTGCTCTCTGTGCTGGGAAGGCCGGGTATGGGGGTAGATAGCCAGCTAGATGTGTGGAAAAAAGCCCAAGTGCAGCTATCTGGAAAGCACAGATCTTTTCATGTGGAACCTGCTCTTGGAGATGGGTTTTGGATGGGGAGGGATCTGGGACAGAGGTGGGAAGGCGGGCAAGGTGGGTACCTTTACATGTACCCGCTGCTTCTTCCTTTGAGAGATGCTGGAGCCACTGGCCTTGCAGAAGTTCTCTGTCCCAGGGGCAATACTCCCCTTCTACAGCAGGGGGAGCCAGACACCCACCGACAGCACCAAGAATCCCACAGAGGGGCAAGTGGAGAGGGACAGGAAGGAGGAAGAGAACAGAAAGCAGAGTTATCTCCAGTGGCCAGCAGTGGGGTCCTGTCACTGCCCACAGGTGTCCAGATCCTCACATCCGCCCAGAAGACACACATCACAGGCTTGGGACAAGGGCTAGCCCGTGAACACACCGAGCGCGGCTGGGCTGTGCGACACGTACTTCTCTGGTTGAAGCTCATTTTCTGCAGGCCTGATCTTGATACTGGCTCTAAGAGTAGGCAGTTAACTCCACTTAAGGGGGCCTGGGGAAGGTCCTGGAAGACTGAGCTATGTGGGTCCAAAGATAGCAAGCTTCAGCCCTCACTGGAGGCAACGATATCCACAATGAAGTGGGTGTGAGCTGGGAGCAGGCGGGGGGGCAGGGGGCAGCTGTGTGTCTGCAGCATGTACTGCAGACGTGGCTGGGACCAGAGGACCCCAGGCCCCAGCCGTGGTCTCTGGCTTCTTGTGCGGACCCTCATCAAGTCTCAGGAAACTGCATGAGCGTAGGGCCCGAGCCTCCGTGTGCTACCCTCGTGGCACTCTGCCGTGGCCTTTGGAGTGCACGAGGCCTGGCAGAGCAGTTCCCGAGGGTGTTCTAAATGCCCCCAGGGAGTGTAACCCCTGGGCAGGCCTTGGGGTCAGGGTGGCCCCTCTCCAGAGACCACTGTGTGAACACGAGTCCTGCCTGAGAAAGGCTCAGGCGCTGAGGTGCCAGAGGGAACAGGTGTCGGGTGGGCCTGGGCAAGGAGCACACTGGATTCCAGGAGAAACAGACAGGCAACCTCACTTCAACCCTCCGCCACACCCGTGCCTACAGACTCAACCTGCTCTGCACAGAAGGAAGGAGTAAGGCTTGGAACCTTCTCGTTGGTTCTGTGCTCCTGCAGAGAAAGAACAACCCTCCTGGGGCGTCACATCTCCACCTGTCACCCACGGGACCTCCGTGCCTCCAGGACAGGGAAGGAATGTCCCTCTGTCCTCAGGTTTTCCCCTCACAGCCAGAGAGAAGGAGGGAATGGAAAAGTCCACCGCAAGAAGCTATCTCAGAAGCAATCAGAACAAGTGCACACTGGAGATGCTCCTTCTCCACATTGTGACCACAGATCCTCTCTGTCCCTGGCACTGAGGCCCAGTAGCCTCAGCTTTCAAGACAGAACCAGACTGCTTTAAAGAGCTAATTTCCCTCCCCTTAGTAAAATACATTTCACTAATTGACACTATGGGGCGGGGGGAGACAAAGGAGGAAGCAGGAACGAGTATCCTAATGTAGACGAAGACTTTGCACCGGCCCCTGGCTTCCACTTCCAGTTTAAGTACAAAGGTGCACAAGGGACATTATTGCATTGCAATGTTCCGCCAGACACCCGTATCTTTCCTCCACACCAGACTTGAGATCAGGGAGTGTGGGGGAGGAGGGGGGGTCTTCCTGGCTCTGAGATCAGGAAGTATGGAAGGGGAGGAGGATCTTTCTGGCTCTGACTTAAGATAAGAGGCGTGGGGGCAGGGGAGAACACCATCTCTGGCTCTGAGGCAGTCAGTGTACAGCGAATTGCGGCCGCAGCCGCTGTGCCTCTTAAACTCACACCTGGCTCCAGGGGAGGGGGTCAGGGCTAGGAGAAGGGAGTATTTTCTGACCTTCACTGGATTCTTCCTCCTCTTCATCATATTCTTCTTCCTCTTCTTCATAGTCCTCTTCCTCCTCCTCCTCCTCCTCTTCTTCCCCCTCCTCCTCTTCCTCCTCAGGCCCAAAGCTCTTGGAGGCCTCCAGGTCCTCCTCACTCCTTCCTTTCAGAAGAGCATGGATCCTCACTGCCTCTTTCCAAGGAACACCACCCAGGTCAGAGGTGGGCAGCTGGTCTTCCTCATCATCCTCTTCCTCCTCCTCCATCTCCGACTCGGAACTGCTGCGAGGAAGGACCACATAATCCAAGTGAGGGGTTACATCACGTGGAGAAGGGAAGGCTGGGAGCAGAGGCCCAGCAGAGTGGGAGGGGACGCCGGGTAGGAGGACAGGGGGTAGGGTGCACAGCCCAGCCTGTGGGCACAGTGGCCAGCAGGCTCCACCACTGAGGGGTCACAGAAGGCCACAGGAGCAGAGCAGGGGCATGGACTCCTTCTGCTACGACCTCATGACCCTCAGTACTGAGGAAAGAGAGAACGTTCTTTTTTTGCTCTGGCCACTATTTGGTGGAGGGAATCAATTCTATTCTACTTAGGTTGGCTAGAAGCCTCTCATGTGAACCATGGGGGTATAGGCATGCACCGGCAGTCAGGACGTATGTGGGTAGTGAGGAGCGCAGAGGAGGCAGCAGCCCGATTAACGTGATGGTGATCCTTGAGAGCCCAGTCCCCCCCCACACACTGCCGGCCATACAGACGTGAGGCCAGGATCCCCTCAGGCAAGCAGGCCCTGCACAAACTCCCACCTGCAGGCCACACAGACGTGCGGCCAGGGTCCTGCCCACCAAGCAGGCCCAGCACCAAAACACCAGAAAGATCAACCCCTGGGCCACCCTGCCTGGTTCTGTTCACAGAAGAGGCCAGCTCAGGCTGGAACGGAGCAGCACTTTACAACAACACCTTTCCCTGGCCCAGCCCTGGCTTTCAGGATAAAGCACTCGACCTAAAAATGCCAACATGGAGACGTGCCCCAGGGGCATCAGGCTCCCCGGTGTTCTGTGAAGGCAGGGTCCTCTGCACCAGACGTGCGGCTCCTCACAGCCCAGCTGTGAGCACACAGGGTCAAGGACAATGATGTGCACTACCAGGGCCACTGGTTCTGTGTAGGGAGAGTCTGACTGTCCCAAACAGGTCTGCCCTTGTCCTCAACTTAGGGGAGGAAAACGCCTGGCCCCCTGGGATTCTGTCTAAGAGGACTGCCTGGGACCTTGGGTGGTAGTAAGTCTAGTAAGCCGATGCAAGTGAAGGCTAGCCATATCCCACAGTCTTACTTTGGAGGACCGATGAGGTGATTTGGTATGGCTCTGAGCCAAACGGTACCGGCCAGCAAAACTCCACACTCCCAAGCCTGGGTGGGTGTACTCAGCCCACACTGTCGCACACTGACACCAAGAAAGCAACACACGGTCCTGGTCCCACTTCACTAGAACATTGGGAAGCTCTGGAGTCTGGAAGTTTGCTCACACACTTCTTTCCTTGGCTGATTTTTTTTTTTTAAGCCGGCTTCCTTCCCTTGTAACAAGCCACGGCCACGTTGTAACAGCTCTTGGTGAGTTCTGTGGGCCCTTTTCTAGACAAGGGTCGGGACTGAAAGTGGCTGGGGAAACTCCTGCATCTGTGGTTGGTGTCACAAGTGACAGCAAACTGGCCCGCTGGACCACATGACCCCAGGGGTGACTATTATGCTCTCTGACCCACGGCTTTTTTTATTTTTTGCCAGTCCTAGGGCTTGAATGCAGGGCCTAGGCACTGTCCCTGAGTTTTGCTCAAGGCTAGCACACTACCTCTTGAGCCACAGTGCCATTTCTGGCACTGAACTGAATTGAACCAGGGGCTTCATGCATGGTAGGCAAGCACTCTACCACTAAGCCACATTCCAAGCCCCAATGACCCCATGACTTTCTTACCACCTGGTTCTTGGTTATGCTATGGAGGTCAGGGATCACTGACGTTCATCAAGGTCTCACGATGTACCCCAGGATGGCCTGGAACTCTCAGTGCTCCCTAAGCGCTGGAGTTATAGGTGCACAGAAAGAGCACGCTGAACGCCCACTGCAGCTAAGCCAGTGGATGCAGGAATAAGAACTGACTCCCTCCTGCAAGCTGTGGCCTGCCTTACTCAGTTAGCCACCCAATTACAATGTGCCCAGTGTCCTCGGCTCACAATACACTTACTAAACACCCAGGAGTAAAGGCAAAGATGACAGGGGCAAGATGCATGCTCTCACATCCTGCTAAGTCAGGTAAAGGGGAGGAGTTGGCTCACAGGTCATGAATGTAGGGATCTGAACCATGGAAGACTCGGCATCTGTGTTCCATCATGTTTGAGCATTTATTTATTTTTGGGTCAGTTGTGGGGCTTGAGCTCTGGGCCTGGGCGCTGTCCCTCAGCTCTTCAGCTCAAGGCTAGCACTCTACAACTTGAGCCACTGAGCCACTTCCAGGTTTCTGAGTGGTTTATTGGAGATAAGCACCTCACAGACTTTCTTTCTTTTTTTTTTTTGGGTCTGGTAGTGGGGCTTGAACTCTGGGCCTGGGCGCTGTCCCTCAGCTCAAGGCTAGCGCTCTACCACTTGAGCCACAGCGCCACCTCCAGCTTTTTTCTTTTTGCTTATGTGGTGCTGAGGAATCGAACCCAGGGCCTCATGCATGCAAGGAAAGCACTCTACCACTGAGCCATCTTCCCAGCCCCTCACAGACTTTCTTGCCCGGGCTGGCTTTGAACCTCAATCCTCAGATCTTAGTCTCCTGAGTAGGATAACAGGTGTGAGCCACCGGCTCACGCCTGGCTTAGTATTTTTTTTTTTTAAACTGGAATTATGTTTGCTCTTCTTGAGGGCAGTTTGCTTTCTTTGAATGGATTTTGAATGGATCTGGTATGTGCCATGTAATATGGTTCAAAGATAAAACCAGGTCAGAGCTGCAATCATCTTAAACTTTGGCTCTCCTCCACAGCTGTGTGTCCGCAGGCTTGTTTGGGTCACGGTAGTAAGCCAGCAGGCTGAGCTGCACTGCCGCCAGCTTCCCGAGAGAAGGGAGCTCCTAGCCTGACCTCAGTCATATCATGACGTGGGGATGGCCACACTGCGTAATGTGGGCACTGAGAAAAGTCTCCGGTAATGAAGACAGTGAGGTCTCACTGATCAATTTTAGTGCCACTCTGGATGCTTTATGGCAGCTCAAGGACTGGAGTGTGAAGATGAGAGAGGAAAGGTCAGCCCTCATCTTTCTCTGTAAGCGACAAGCTCAGAGGCTCTGCCATTTCCTGGCGCTCAAGACAAGCAAAGCAGCCTTCCTCTGCGGGCAGGGAGGTCTGGAATTTGACAGGTGGTGCCAAAGGCACTGACTTAGAACCACCCTGATCCTCCAGGGCCTCCGTCCTGAGCAGCGAGGGCTATAGGCATGATCCGCTGGTGCCTGACTCAGCTTACAAACTATTTTTTTTCCTGTTGTTGCTGGTCCTAGGGCTTGACCTTGGGGTCCTGGCCATTGTTCATTGTTCCTGAGCTTTTGGACTCAGGAAGTTGAGCCACTCTACCACCTGAACCACAGCTCTACTTCTGGCTTTCTGTGGTTCACTGGAGATAAAACTCTCATGGACTTTCCTGCCCAGGCTAGGCTTTGTACCATGACCCTCAGATCTCAGCCTCCTGAGTAGCTATGATTACAGGCATGAACCACCAAGCGCCAGCCATCAGCCTAGAAACTCTGTGAGGAGAATCCCTATAGGAGAAAAACAATGCCTCACAGGCAGCCTGAAGCACTCTTAGGTTCTGGGGGCATCACTGCGGAGGGAAGCTGGCAGAGGATGGTGAGGAAGGCTGTCCTGAGGGGGCTCTGCCTGGGGTTCCCCCTGAAGTTCTCTGAGGCTTCTCAAAGGGAAACAGAACTCTAGTCAAGGACTCTGCGAACTGCTGTCCTGTTCAGCCAAACACCAAAGTCCCACCCACACTGAGACCTCATGAACACTGCCAAGCAGGTAACATCAACCAGTGACCTTCACACGGGTGAAAGTCAAGCATGTGCTCAACCCGGCATCTGCTCAGCCACTGTACAGATACTGCCTCTGCTGGACAAGGCAAGACAGGGGAAGGACAGGCAGGAAATCCTATTTATTCATGCTCTGCCACACATGATGATGCCATCCGGTTCCGGGAAGCCCACGGAAACGTTGGCTGCCACACCTGCCAAGCCCACCTGTATGTGGTTCTTTGGAGCCAGAAATCTGTGAACACTAAAGAACTTACAGCACCCGGCACAGCACAGGCCTTCTTCTTTGCTTTGAGCAATGAGGGAAACCAATATTAAAACCACAGAGGTTGGCTGGGAATGTGGTTTAGTGGTAGATGCTTGCCTAGCCTGTTCGATTCCTCAGTACCACATACAGAGAAAAAGCCAGAAGTGGTGCTGTGATTCAAGTGCTAGAGCACTAGTCTTGAGCAAAAGAAGCTCAGGGACAGTGCCCCGGCAGAGTTCAAGCCCCAGCACCGATGAAAACAGAAACAAGACAAAACAACACCAAACCACAGAGTCAGTTTTCCCTGGCCTTGGGCCAGGAAATTTAAAAATGCATCCTCTAGAGTCCTCTAGAAGACAGGCTCCACCCAGCTTGGAAGGAGGGTCAAGAGGCTGCTGAGTCCCGGCTCAACGTGCCTGTGTAAAGTCAACCATGGAGCCGATCATAAACATGATCAAGAATGTCTGTAAAAGACAGCCATTCCCACTTCACACCTTAGGGGAGGGCCCAGGAACTGCTTTTGCACCAAATGTCCCAGTGGTGTTTACCTTCAGGAAATCTGGAAATCTTACAGTGGCAATTCATAAATCACCCAAGAAATAAGGAAAAATGAAACTCTTTTGTGTCTTTCCAGGCTGGTTCCATCAGTGTCTTGGCCTGGCTGCCCAATGCAAGCCCTCAAGGGCTGCAGGCACCATGAGCAGGCCACAAGGAAACGCAGGCCGGAGGGCTGCAGGGAGATGCAGGCTGCAGGGAGATGCAGGCCGGAGGGCTGCGGGGAGATGCAGGCTGCAGGGAGATGCAGGCCGGAGGGCTGCGGGGAGATGCAGGCTGCAGGGAGATGCAGGCCGGAGGGCTGCGGGGAGATGCAGGCTGCAGGGAGATGCAGGCCGGAGGGCTGCAGGGAGATGCAGGCTGCAGGGAGATGCAGGCCACGGAGGGCTGCGGGGAGATGCAGGCTGCAGGGAGATGCAGGCCGGAGGGCTGCGGGGAGATGCAGGCTGCAGGGAGATGCAGGCCGGAGGGCTGCAGGGAGATGCAGGCTGCAGGGAGATGCAGGCCAGAGGGCTGCAGGGAGATGCAGGCTGCAGGGAAACACAGGCCGGAGGGCTGCAGGGAGATGCAGGCTGCAGGGAGATGCAGGTTGGAGGGCTGCAGGGAGATGCAGGCTGCAGGGAGATGCAGGCTGCAGGGAGATGCAGGCTGCAGGGAAACGCAGGCCAAAGGGAAACACAGGTCAGTGCAGTGACTGTAGACTGTGTATAGGTTACAGGTAAGGCTACTGACAGAGCAAGGAAGAGCAGATGAGACAGCAAGAAAAACAGGAAGAACCCTAGGCTTGGACCAAGAAAAACTGAGATAGGAAATCAGTTCTATTCCTAGCTCTGCCCACTTCCTCACCTATGGAGAGGGACAAAACCTCACAAGCAGAGGATGATCAAAGCACTCAGTCAGCACCAGGCAGAGAAGCCCGATACCATGTACTGTTTTAGAACCACATTCCTATTTCCCCCTCTAGTCGTCACACCAATTAAATGAGGAAGGAGCTAGCATAGGTTTCATTTTACAGACAAAGAAACTGAGGCATAAAAAACGACAAAGTTTGCCTACAGCTCCATTGCTGGAAAGTGTCTGCGCCAGGATTCCCACACAGTCTGGCTCGGATTCCATCTTTAAGAAGCTCCCCAGCTGCCCTCCAGCGAGGTGGTTTTCATCTGGGGACAGGCACTGACCTGCTGGCCACGTCCTCTTCGGTTCCTTTGTCCAGCACGCTGCTCAGGTTGTGCTCTGCCTGGGTCTCCTCGGGCACCTCCTCCAGCTCCTCGGCCAGTCTCACAGACCGGCGGTAGTTCTCTAGCTCGATCCTCTCGGGGGTGCCCCTCAGCCTCTTGGCGATGCTAGGCTCCTCCAGGCCATTCACACCGGGACCTGAGGGACAAACACGAAGGCCCAGTTCTGAGGATGCAGCATGGACCAGGACTCCAAAGGATGTATAGAGAGGAAGGAGAGACCATCTAGGCACCGAGACACTGCCCTTCACCAAAATGAAGACAGGACCTCCATGAAATCTGAACATTCGGCCACTAAAGGTAAAGGCAAAAGCAAACAAACTAAAAAACTCCATGGATTTGGTAGAAGCTGGGAAAGGAGGCTGGTAGGAGAGGAATAAAGATCACATGTCCACGTCTACTTTCTTTTCTTTTTTCTTTTTTTGTTGGTCATATGGCTTGAACACTGGGCCTGGGAGCTGTTCCTCTGCTCTACCACTTGAGCCACAGCACCACTTCCAGTTTTCTGGTGGTTTATTGGAGATAAAGTTTGACAGCTTTTCCTGCCCAGGCTGGCTTTGAACCATGATCCTCAGATCTCAGCCTCCTGAGTAGCTAGGATGACAGGTGTGAGCCACTGGCGCCTGGCCACGTTTACTTTCTGTATCACCTGAGCCCCAGCCTGATTGAACGAAGCCAACAACAGACAGGGATGACAGGGGTATGGGAGACCTTCAGGTAGCTCTTCTCACTACTCAGAAGCAAACTACGTAGCCCTAAAGTCACTGCCTGGGGCCAAGTTCTTCAAGCAACCCAGCCTGAGTGGTCTGGGAGTGGGGCAAGGTCTCTGCCTCAAGTCTGGCTGCCTCCATGGAGGTATCTGGGCAGCTGTTTGACTGTATTCTCATACTAGACCCGCCTACGCCACTGGACCAGATTCATGAAAACAGTTTTTGTGAACAAATACACCACCCAGTTATTTGCTCAGTAAAGGACCACGCCAGGCTTGACTGAGTGGCATGATGGACACCTAGCACTGACATTTTTTTCCTCTGTAAATAAACTGTCACCTTTGGGCAATACTCAGAAATCATAGCAGCTGGGCACTGGTGGCTCACGCCTATAATCCTAGTTACTCAGGAGGCTGAAATCTGAGGATCAAGGTTCGAAGCCAGCCCGGGAAAGGAAACTCCGTGACACCCTATTTCCAGTTAACTACTAGAAAATCGAAAGTAGAGCTATGGCTCAAAATGGTAGAGTGCTAGCCTTGAGCAGAAAAGCTCAGGGACAACACCCAGGCCCTGAGTTCAAGCCCTACAACCAATAACAACAAGAACAACAACATAAAGAAACCACAGGAGTGCCCTGCCCCCAGTATTCCTTTGTCCGGTGGTCTGAGCGTCTGTTGATGATCTGTGCCTGTCTATTTGTATACCAAAAGATAATTTTTTAGAATTGTTATTCCTATTCTATTGTTCCTTTGCACATTTTTCAGTTCTACCATAGACTTATAGTCTTTTTTTTTTTTTTTTGAGTCCAGTTGTGGGGCCTGAACTCTGGGTCTGGGCGCTGTCCCTCAGCTCTTCAGCTCAAGGCTAGCACTCTATCACTTGAGCCACAGCTCCACTTCCAGCTTTTTCTGTTTATGTGGTGCCGAGGAACTGAACCCAGGGCCTCATGCATGCAAGGCAAGCGCTCTACCACTGAGCCATCTTCCCAGCCCCTCATAGTCTTTTTTAAAACTTAAAAATATTGTGTTTGAGACTCCTATGTTTCCCTTAATCTAGATCAGCGCCCTGTCTCCTTTCTAGACCATTTCCCTCTGATCTCCGTGTCAATCACCCCAGTTTGGGCTAGAAGCCCCCATTTTCCTCGGATGTCCCGATCACTCACCCCAGTTGGGGTTGGAGGCCCTCCACATTCCTTTCTGATGTCCCTATCTCCCAAGCTTTGCTTGAAAACCCCAATTGATCCTGCAGTGGACCACTGTAGCCTGACATGATAGAGAGGTACCAACTCCTCCAGGAACTGGAAGAGAGAAAGAAATCAGAAAAAAACAACTATATAACTGGGAGGGAAAAACTGGGAGAGTGAGGAGAGTCATTATCTGACTTATGTAACTGTAATCCTTCTGTACATCACCTTTATAACAAGAATAAAAATTATGCAACTACTCAGGGTTTATACGGTCTTATAGATTATGATGCTGACCTCCCAGGGTTATTAGTATGAATGCTGAATGAAATTATAAACCTATGGACACATTGTGAAGTACAGACTTGCTCCAGTGTGCCTCTGTTACCACACCGGTGGTACACTGTAAAGCAACACATATGACATCCAGTAGCAATTCGTATAGACCTCTGCAGAAGTGTATGTGTGGTCTTGGCTTATTATAGACCACAAACATTATCACATGACAGAGACGGGAGGAAGCAGAAATGTGAAGGAATATAACATGTACTTGTGTTTAGGTCTTACTGGGCTTACTAGCAGGGGTGGAGAAGCAGGAATGCAGGTGGCAGCGGGTCACGCATGGTCTTGTGATCTATCCAGGGAAGGTTTATGGTTTCTGTGACATTCTAAAGCAAAAGCAGTCATATGGGGTTTTGGCATGAAATGCCACACCAGGTCCCAGGTGGACCTCTATTAAAGGATAGGAGTAGGAGTATTGTTCAGCAATGTCTGGCAGGTTGCACAGATAATGCTCTGGAGGCCTGGCATTTCTGTTGTATACAGGATTTTGAACCTCTCAACAGCATGAGAAAGAGCCCCAGGTAAGTACTAGGGTAAAAAGGTGACGCTAGAGTTACAGGAAGATGATTTCAAGTTTGTAGAGAAATTTTCCCTGGACAGAAGGGTCTACAAATACAGGTATGTGCCTGGTAATGAGTTTACCTGAGCCCTGGCCTACCAGTGCCTAGACCGCCCATCTGTCATTTTAAACGTCCATACTACATTCTTTCATACCAACATATTTTCAATATGAAGGATGTAAAACCTCACAGAACTGTCTTAGAGCAGAGAATCTGGCATGTGGAACAACAGACAATCTACCTTCCTCCCAGTGTTTTTTTTTTTTTTAGATTGTCCAAGGCCTGCAGACAAGTAAATCATCAAGCATCAGAACTTGGCAGTCCAAGCCTGAAGCTCTGGGAAGGAGAAATGTTGATTTAATTCTGGGCTTGGCTACAATGAACAAAAAAGAAACCAGAAGCACTGAGAACTATCCAGACCATTCATACATGAAGCCCCTAGAGAAGGATGTTCTGGCCACGAAAACTACAAGAAGGCTCTTGCTGGAGATTTTGCAAAAACTAAGATAGAAGGTTAGGTGGGGTAGCACAAACCTGCAATCTCAGCACTCAGGAAGCTGAGCAGAAGGATTGTAAGTTTAGAGTCAGCCAGAGCTAAGACAGTGCCATTTTCAAAACAACAACAAAACACGGTGGGGAGTGGAGCTGCCTCTGTCCAATACGCGTCCACCCAGGCAGTTCCCACACCTCCAGCTCCCCCTGGCTGTTAGCCACAGGGAACACAGGAAGGCAGGGTGTCTGAGGGCTCTTTCCCCACGGAGGTGGAGCAGGAAGGCGGTCCTCAGATGAGGCGAGGCCAGTTGTTACAATCCACCCTAAGCTTAACATCCCCAACCCATGACTCTAAAGTACTCTGGGGGAGATGCAAAAACAAATAAGCAAGGGGTTCTGGGTCACACTGGCCAGATGGGTGAAGACAGACTCGGAGAGCAGAAAGTGAGAGTGAGGGAGGCCACCTGGCCCTGCTTCAGCGGATAGAAGAGCCTAGAGGAGATAAAGTTACTGGCAGTTGACGTGCCTGGCCATGCTTCTAGTCTCAGCTGCCTAGGAGGCTCACGTGCGCCCAGGAGTCTGAGACCAGCCTAGGCAGCACAGTAAATCCTATCTAGGGGGAGAGGGCCCAAATCACCCGCAGGAGCTGGTTTGGAAAGGCAAACAACTAGCTGGGCCAGGCGGCGAGGTCAAGACCCACATAGCCCCTGCACTCCACACGTCTCAGTGTGACTACAGCTGCATAGGGACTTTCCAACTAAATGCGGAATGAAAGAACTTGGGATAATTTCCAAGGCCAATACATCACTAAGTAAGTCAGGGCGGGCAGAGCTCAGGGCATGGGGAGGCCAATTATAGCCTCACACATACCAAAAGAAAACAGCTTCCAGGATCTGGGCTGCAGCCTAAATAGGAAGAAGGCACTGGGCTTGACTTGAGGCTCTGCCCGCAGTAAGCTCTAGACATCATTCTAAAAGAATGGGCTGGGAAGGTGGCTCAGTGGTAGAGCGCTTGCCTTGCATGCCTGAGGCCCTGGGTTCGATTCCTCAGCACCACATAAGCAAAAAGAAAAAAGCCAGAAGTGGCGCTGTGGCTCCAGTGGTAGAGCGCTAGCCTTGAGCTGAAGAGCTGAGGGACAGCGCCAGGCCCAGAGTTCAGGCCCCATGACTGGACCAAAAACAAAACAAAAAAGAAATACTTTGTAATAGGACAGCTCTCAGCTGACTCAGCCCAGCTGCCAGAGCTTTATTTGTTCTGCCTGGTTCCTGGACAGACGGAGGGATGAAGAGGAGACAGCACAGCATCTCCCTGGGCGTCAGTGGACAGCTCTCCTCCTGCATCCATTTCTGGCCTTCCTGCAGTGGCAATAGGACCCCAGTGCTTAGGTCACTTCAGGGTTTGGGGCACATAAGACATCATGACACTTGAAAACCTTATTCTCCTCTACTCTGAATGATTTTCTGGCCCATTTTCTTTCCTTTTCCCTTAAAAAATACTTTAATCAGCCAGGTGCCAGTGACTTATGCCTGTAATCCTAGCTACTCAGGAGGTTGAGATCTGAGAATGGCAGGCAGTTCAAAGCAAGTCTGGGCAAAAAAGCCTATGAGATTCTTATCTCCAATTAACCAGTAAAAGAAGAGCTGGAAGTGGAGATGCGGTTCAAATGGTAGAGCACTAGCCTTGAGCAAAAAAGCTCAGGGACAGCACCTAGGCCCAGAGTTCAAGTTCCAGGGCTAGCATTAAAAAACGAAAAAGATTTTAATCAACATATAAGTTATGCATACTTATGGAGTGTAATATGATAATTTAGTACATGTAAGCTTTGTATTATACATTGCTTTTTTATATATAC